TATAATATAAATTATTAATATTTACAAATTATTATTTGTAAATAATTTAAATTTATGTTAGATGAAACAAGACAAGAATAAATTGCGATAATGGATATAACAGAGATAGCAATTTCAATCTGTTTCTATCTAATCTAATTTCATCTAATGCAAACGTCTTGTATTATTTATAATTTAATTTATTAATAAATTATTATATCATTATATTTATATTTAATTTGATTTCTAGAATTAATTTCCAAAATATTATACATTATATTACATTATATATACATTATATGTACATTATATATTGAAATTTTATTATATTTTTAATTTATATATTATATATTGAAATTACATTGAAATTTTTTTATATAATAAATATTACAAATGATAATAATTCTATTAAACATAATAACTAAATATAAAAAACATTAAATTATATTTTTGTTCAAAAATTATATTGTATTTTTGTTTCTATTTTAAAATTTTTAATCGAATAATACAATATATACTGCAATTTTCACTTCAAATGTTAATACTAGAATAATAATAAAAATAAATATATTAAATATAAAAATCATTAGTTTTTTTTCAAACTTTTTTCTTGATAATGTTTTATTAATTCTTAATTTTTAATTCAGTTTATTTTTCATTTTTTTCTTCTCTTTCTTTTTTTTTCTTATTTCTCTTTCTTTACGAATACAATGCCATCTTGTGTTTACATCTTACTCTCGTAGTCCCATGATGTTTCAGAATATCTGATTGCATTTTTATCATGTTATGTGAATGTCAAATATGAAATATTGTGTTAACTATTTAATAATTATTTAATAATTACAACTCATATTATTTTGAATATTAAGAAATTAAAAATAAAATAATAATATAGATTTCGTAAATGTTATTATGTTTTTATAAAGTCATATAAAAATGAAAACTAATAATCAAGATACATTTTGTAAAAAAATGCGAAAAGCTACAAAAGAAATTCATTCAATTAGCGATTCATTAGTGAATGCAAAATTAGCATTTGGTAAGATATAATTCTTTTAATTAACATTATATTATATTTAATTTTTATTTATTTGTAATTATATGTAGGTTAATAAATTTTATAGTTTTTTTAATATATTATAGTTCTTGAATTTTTTATTTTTCTATTATATAGTATAATACTATATAGTATTTATATTTTACATATAATGATTAATAAATATTTATTCTATAATTATTGTGTAACAAAATAGTAATTAAGTATATATTTTAAGTATTATAATTAAGTATATATATATAAAACATAAAATAAAATATAAAACAAAAATTGAATTTTAAAAGGATTTCTTGATAATTCTGTATGGGCGGATGGTCTTTTGGTTTTTTATGAAGTTTTTCGATATTTGGAACTTGCTATGATAAAATGGAAAGATACAAAAATAGGTTTATTTTTACATGAAGAACTTCGTCGAACTGAAGCATTTGAAGTTGATCTTGAATTTTATTTAGGAAAAGAATGGAAAAAAAATCTTAATCTTCGGTAAATATGTTTCTTGATATTTTTACATTTATATATACACATATGTATGCTATATTAATAGTATAAATATTAATACTTTTATTATATTTATCAATAATTATTAATATGTAATAATTATTAATATATTTTATATTAACAATAATTATTAATATGTATTAAATACATTTATAAAAATCTCTTAAAAACCAGCATTCTATTGACTTGTACAATATTTATAAATTTTTATTTAAGTATTTGAAAATATTTCATAATAAATAGAATATTAAAATAACTCATTAACATTTTTACACTATTTGATATAATCAATAAAATCCTAATTCAAGATTTCATTAACATTTAACATTTTTATAAATTCCAGAGATAGTGTTACTAAATATTTGGTTCATTTAAAAGAAATCGAAGATACAGAACCTATTTTGCTAATAGCATATATTTATCATTTGTACATGGGTCTTCTGAGTGGTGGAATTATTTTACGTAAAAAAAGAGAATTTATGCAAAAAATTTGGCCATTTAAAGAATATCAAACGAATGGTAATAATATTACAAATTTTGAAAACAGTAATATCTTTCAACTTAAACAACATATGCGCGATACTATGAATAAAATTGCGGAAACATTAGATGAAGATACAAAAAATAAACTTCTTGAAGAAAGTAAAACAGTATTTATATTAAATAATGAAATTATAAGAAGCATACAAGGTACAGGTACTATTATTCTTAAGAAAACAGTATGTTTTGTTATTCCCATTATGCTACTTTTTTTAGCATTTTTTGTATCTTTTAGAAAAATATGATATTTATTTAACAAAAAAGATTTTTTTTATTTATCTTACTATTTAAAAGTTTGGAAGCAATCTGTACATAAAATAACATCTTTGCATAAATTTTTTATAAATAATTATTAAAGTAATTACTTATAATATATATTATAATAATGTTATAACAAATATTTATTGACAACTATGTTAGAAAAAAAAAATTAATCAATAGAATATCCAAAATTTGTTTTCATATTATTATCTTTATTTTAATTTTTTTTTTTTATTCAACAAAGTTTACTTGTAATAAATAGTTTTAATAAAATTTTGCTTAAATTTTTTAAATTTCTTATTGCTTTCATATTTTTAAATGGTAATATACATATGAATAGTTATAAATAGTTTTAAATAATTTTTAAATTTGAAATGACAAATTGTTAAATATTTAATTATTTTATGTATGTATGTGTATATATATATGAATATTTAAACATGGAGAAATTTGAAATAAATTGTTTGTAAAATAAAAAAAAAAATATTTTTTATTAAATATTTCTATTCTTTATTTCATATTGTTAAAATAGAAAATTAAAATATAATATACAAGATATTTTGATATTATAGAAGATAAATACTTATAAAGTAAAAGTATTTACATTTATAACATTTCAATAATTATACGTGTAAACATATTTATATCGTATTTTTGTATATGAAATTATATGAAATTTACTTCATTATTGTACATGGTGAATGTACATGTATAAAAAAAACCTTTACAAATAAATCTGTAATCATAATTTAATAACATATATATTTTATATTTTATTAAATCTAACAGAGGAGAAAAAAAAAATTTTGCTTAGAAATTAAATTAAATTAATATAGTTGACAAGAAATATTATTAAGAACATAAATTTTTAAGACTATATTTAATTTTAAATATTTGTATCATCATTTGTTTAATCTTGTATAAATATTATAACAATATAATACAATTATCAACATAAACTTACCGAATATAACTTTTTATTTTTTAAAATTATTTTAAAATTTAATTTTATAAACAATCAAGTATTGCTTGTTTGTCAAATTTAAAATTCGCCCAAATCAATGAAAAACATTCTATGGGATATTTTTGAGCTTCTATTGGAAAGAAATGAGATGCACTATGAGTCATTACCATAAATGGAGATGGAATACTTTTTAAATCTGTTTGCAGTTTATTTGCTGCTTTTCCAAATAATAAAGATTTAATATTTCCTTCTGTAAATTCTATATTTCGAGAATCTTGAGACGTTTGATCTGAAAATAATAAAATACAATTTTCATTATATTATAAAATTTCTTTAATATATTTGTTAATAATACATTATAATATAAAAATAATATATTATAAAATAAATTTTAATAATATAATATTAAATATTGAACCTTTTATTTCTGTAGCAAATGTTTGAGCCTTATAATTAAATTCATTGCACTTTATAGATTGAATAGCTGGATCCATTAAAAGTGAACATGACTGTTGATTTTGTGGACTATCTGTTAATTGTTTAGCAAGTACAGTTGATGTTTCTTCTTCATTTTGATCTCCGAATAAGTTACGTTTAATTGCTGTTTTAGGTAAAATACTTTTATTATCATGTATACCACGTCGGTTTCTTGCAGGTGAAGTATTAGATTGTCGAAAATTTTTAACATCCTTAAAACTTGGAATATCATTCTAAAAATAATTTATATGCATTTTAAAATTATTTTCAAAATAATCAAAAAAGATATATAGTTAAGTAATAGATAATTTAATTACTTGAACAGAATGAGGAGCTAAATGTCGTTTATTCTTTGAACTAGTTTCAACATCACCCAAAGATCTATGCCTATGTCTTCGTATTGTATTTGTATTTGTATTTTTGTCACGTAAATGTTTTTCTTGTATCCAACGTCTCATCCTCCTATTTAAAAATTATTATAAAAAATAAAAATTATAAAATTTAAATAACTTTAACATATATAATAACATATATAATAAATAATAAATAATATATAATAATATATATATCATAATATAAAAACATGATTACTCTTTGAAATAATTATTTGAAAATATAAAAAATAATTAATTGAAATACTAAAAATTGTAGAATTATCAATAGAAATTATCAATAGAATATTATTTGTTAAATATTTAAAAATATCAATTTTAAAAAAATCATGATATCAAAATAATGCATCCTTTAAAAATGAATATTATACATAAAATACATAAGATATATTTAATAAGACAAGTCATAATTATATAAATGAAATATATTAGCTATAATAAAAAATATATATCTTATACTTCATTAATGGGACTATAGATAATACAATATTTTATGTGCATTCTAAATGAAATATTAATTATTAATTTTTATTTGTTAAAATCAAGTTATGTTTTAATTTAAAAATTATTTTAGTTTCATTTACTTCTTGAACTTTGCATCCAAATAAATCATCATTAAATTATATTTAAATATTCATAACTTTAGATAAAATAATTTTTTAACAATAAAATTTATATTTTTAGAATATATTCATTAAATATTATTGAATAATTAATTGAAAGACAAAAAAAAATAATAATTTGTAGTGTTTCAAGATAATATTTATCATAAAGATACATTTTTTATTAAGCTTGTAAAATTACCTTACAAAAGGGATTACCATAAAAAATGCATTTGGACCAACTCCTGTTTTTACTTTTGGAGTCATATCTTTTTTATTATTAGGTAAATCAGCTAAAGAAAACCATTCTACGTTTTTTATTTCTTTTCGTGTTTTTGGTTGAAATTTTGTATCTTTTTGAACACCGCATATTATATATAATCTTACTAATTGTTCATTTATTGTTGACTCGATGTATTCATTTTCATCTATCAAATTTGAAATGTCAAAACCAGTTTCTTCTAAAACTTCTCGAACAGCACAATGAGATGGATCTTCATCCTCATTAACTTTTCCTTTTGGAAAACTCCAACTACTTTTTGCCCAATAACTTTGAACAAGTAATACTTTAGTCAGATCTTCATTCAATACAATTGCTCCAAAGGTTGGAACATTTTGTTTATAATCACGCCATTGTTCAAGAATATTATCTATGTTAGCTACATGAGGTTTTAAAAAAGGTATATGAAAAAAAATGTGCGTAGCAAATTCTCTCATACTACATGGTCTTAATTTTGGATTTTCATCTGTACAGTAAAAATCTAAATAAAACCAATGAGCTAATTCGATTTGAAAACATATTCGAACCAAATCTTTCCTTTCTTCTTCAGGTACATTAATAATAAATCGACTGGAAATATCAAAATCATATAATGTTAATAAAGTAAAATATTGCTTAATATTATATATATATATATAATTATAAATATAAATATAATTAAATAATATAGATAGATATAATAAAATAATTTTTTATAAATTAACCTGCTTAAATCGTCGAGAATGTCGGATGGTATAGAATGATCAACCATTTTAAAAATTAATGAAACAATTATAATATTTTTTTTTATGACAAAACTTTATAGAGATAACTTATATAAAAAATGTACATAATCATTATAAAATCATAGATTAAATATCATTTTTAAACTATCAAAATTGATTACGTTTACGCCATTCAATTTCCTTTATTAATTGAAATCATGCCATCTAACTGCTGTTATTAGTACTAATATTAAATATGTCATATGAATATGTAAAACAACAATCAAGGTACAATTATCTATATGGTATAAAATAAACATTTCTTTTCATGAATTTAATGAATAATTTCGATTATATAATAAAATTATAATTACTACAGGATTCTTAATTATGTAATATTGATTTGTAATAAATATATAATTTTAATTTTGAAAATTTGGTGATGGATTAATATAAAATTTAGAAGATTGATAGAGCAAAAAAGAAACAAATCTTAAATATAAAATTTTCAAAAAAATCATCCAATTATTTTCGAGATATTAAAAAACTTTCAGTATTATATATTTAATATTACGTATATAAATATATAAATATTGCCTATCTAGATATCATTATATTATTGGTTATTCACATTGACATTGGTTATTCCATGACAATAATATTATTATAGACAGTTATTTAGTATTATTTAGTAGTAACATTTAGTTATTTAGTATTATTTAGTAGTAACATTTATAGTATGAAGAATTTAGTTACATTTATATATATATTCAATATATAGTGTTGAAAAAGTTTTTATTAATATTTCAGAAAGTAATAATTGAACTGAAGTTAAAATTTTTAAAAATTTTATTTAATTCTATTTTTTCTCTCCTATTATTTTTCTAAATTTTAAATTTTATTAATTTTTAAAATTTAAATTTTAAATTTTAATAGATCACCGGCAATTTAAAATTTATCCATGTTTATAACTTTTTATATTAAAGAGATATTTTGAATATTATTTATAAAATTACAATTTAATTTTCGAATTTACTTCGGTGTTTATAGTATGAAACTTTCAAAAATAATATTATATATATTTTTAAGAAAAATTTTTAAAAGAAAAAAAAATTCTAGACAGAAACAAATATATTTATTATTGAAAATATATTTAAAACTGCTCAATGAGTAATATTACTGTTTTATATAAATTATCTTATTTAGTAAATATAAATCAATTAAAATCTCGAAATTCTTCAGAGATCAAAAACATGAAATTTTGCTATTTTTATAATTCGATTATATTCTTTTATCCTTATAAACAACTTACATATAGTATAGCTTATATATAATTCATAAACAAAAAATGAGATTCTTCATTTTAATAGTCTATTATTCTAATAGTATTCATTTATTTTTATGTAATTAATTATAATCTAATTAAGTTTATGTTTAAATTTTATTAATTTCAATTGATATAATTGCATCATTTATTAATTTATTTAAAAATTAAATATTTTATAATAACATATAGTTTTTATTGATTATATTAATCAATAAAAAAATCCCAAATTTCAGTAAGTCTTATAATTAAAATTCCTGAAAAAAATCTCGTATTACAATTTATTTGCTGAGATATATAAAAAACATACAATATTTATAATATACAAATTTAGAGACATTCTCATATAACATTCATATAACAACTTGTGCATATAGCAGATAAAAATATAAATCTATCGTTTAAAATAAATGAAAATTAAAAAGATATATTTTATAGATTTATGTAAATTACATTGAATATTTCATTGAAACCTATTATTATTATAAAACAATTAAAAATTATAAAAATTGTAGTCTTTTAAAACTTTTTGTAATAAATCTACAATATAATTTTTCAATTTTTCATTAAGCTTAGATAAAAAAAGTTACAAAAAATGATTTTTATTTTCTTAAATTTCTATCAATTCTAACATTTTTAAAAAAATTTTTTATATGTCACATAATAAATTAATTTTTCTAACTCAAAAAAATCGTTTCAATGCAATTTTAAAAAAAATATTTTGTTTTAAATATTTTGTAATAAATGAAAAAATTCTGTACTTTTATTTATAAACATTAATTGATTAATTCTAAAATTTGTTGCAATATACATTCTATGCTTTTAGTATTATTTATCACTTTCAAATCCCATGTGTTTATATCATCCAAATCACATTCGGTTTCTGCATCATCAATACCTGTAAAATATTTAAATTATTATTTTTTAAATTAATAATAATGTAAATATACAAATAATAAAAGTTATAAATTAATTATGAAATTCACATTAAATTAATAAATTTTAATAAATTTTATTACTATTTATTAAATTTAATATTAATTCTCTTTTTATATACCTGTTACAAATGTCCAACCACGCTCAATTCTAATTGAATCATCTGATTCAATACGAATTGTTTTACATATATTTTTAAAATTTTCTGTAAACCACTGTATGTCAGTTTTTCTTCGTATATCGCTTACTATCCATATCGATTTATCATATGCTAAAATAAATGAATATACATTATTTTACAGAATTTTAATATAAAATATTAATATAAAATTTCTAATATTATAATATACAATTTTTCACCATTATATATATCTAGAGCCGCACGACAAAAATAACCTTGATCTGTATTTCTAATATGTTCTCCCCACTTTACCATTTCAAGACGATAGTTTTCTTTATACTTTCCATCTCCCATTAGTTGATCAATATTTAAACCATGAGATTTAGCCCAATGAGACTTAATTGGTGCAGATATTTTTATAATTACACTGTTATCAGATCCAATTCTATTAAAAAGAATATCAATAATAATATTAAATTAATATATTATTAATATTGTATATATATAATAATCATTTTTAATAATCATTTATTATAATGTTATATTATTATTATTAAAAAGTTGTAACCTTTCATATAAAATATTTGTAATATAATCTTTTCCACATTTTCTTTTACCGCTAAATAATAAAATTATTTTTGGTTTTGAAGAATTTTTGAAGTTTATTGCACTATTATCGATATGTTGACTATTCGCCATTTTGTATTATCACTACAATTATTTAAACATTATTTTATATAATTATTTTATAAAATAACAAAACACCATATAATTACTCGTTTAAGCTCTAATTTTCTTAAATTATTAATATTTATTGTGTTACATTTCAATAATTTGATATTGTTATTTCATTAATGCCAAATAATATAAAGTGAATATTTTTATTTTTTAGTGTTATTGTAACATAGAATGAAACATATTTGGACACAACTCATATAGTCACTGGATTTATATGAGGGATTCAGTAGTTTTTTTTACATTTTTATATCATTTTATTTTTAATTATATTGTATTTTTCTTTTTAACTCTATTATGATTATAATTTATATATTTCATATATTTTATATATATTCCTACTTATAATTCATAAGATTAATATATTTTAAAAAAATATTTAATTATATTACAATATTTACTAATTCAAAAATATACATTATAATATATATATAAAAAACATATATTTCAACAATTTTTTAAATGCAAAATTATGAAATATCAGTTTTATTTTATGGATCAAATATTACTAGAAAATAGAAATCGATTAATATTTTTGATATCTTAATATTATTATATGATATTATGTGATATTTTATGTAAAAATAAAAAAAATACGAATTAGGAATTATGATTTAAATATCATCAAATCAAAATATATAGTAAATAAATAATTCTCATACTCACTTTTTATATTTCAGTTTTTTATAATATTCGCATAATTATGAAATAATAATAAAATAAAAATTAATAAATTAACATCTTTAATGAAAAAAAAAGCATAAAATTAATTATAAAAGGTAATATAAAACAAAATTAAGGCTTTCCATTCACGAAGTATTATGTCAGAGACATAAAAAACAATCATTTTATTCATAAAATCTTACATTAAAATTGCTTCACTCTTTACTTTATTACATAAAAACATTCAGAAAAATATTTTATTTTAATAGTTATATCTCTAATGCAATTTTCGTGAATAGTCAGTTTAATTTTAATGATATTCATTTTTTAAATTTTTATTATAATAAAATCATTGATATTAAAAAAAAATTATTTTTTAGCTTCACGAAGAGCTTTACGTTTCTCTGCCCTTTTTAATTGTTCTTTGGGTTTTAGATTATGCTTTTTGGCAAAACGTTGATTTCTTAAGAATTTGAGATCCATCTAAAAAAATATTAAAATAATAAGATATAGAATTATAAACATAATAAAGATATATTTATTTATATAAGTAATGTTAATATAAAAATAAAATTGATAGCAATATTATAATTATAAATTCTATTTATTTATATATTATAAATAATAAAATTGTTAAAAAATTATTTAAATTATTAATTTAAACTTACACCAAGTGTAGATTCATGCCTATAACGTTTTGGTTTTTTGATACCATTACGGTGAGCTTTACGATCTACAAATTATTAATTATAAATAATTAATTAATTACTTTGTATTTTATAATTTAAGAATAATAATAAGATAAGATTAATTTTGTTAATTATATATATATATATATATACATTTTTTTCATATAATAGAAATTATTTAAAAGTAAATAACTTTTTTGTTCCTAAATATTTAAATATAATAAATTTTCTATTCATACTCACTTTGATTATGATTAGTATGATTTTTAGACTTTGCCATTCTTCCGTATAATTCACTTCAAAAGAGAAAAAAAAACTTAATTTAGAGAATAAAAAAATAAATAATATTTGAGGTTATAAATTCTTCAAAGTAGAATTGAGAAAGAAAGATTACAAAAAATTAATACTAAAAAAAGTTATTCAATATTAAAAATAATTTAATAATATCATTATATTAGTTAATTTAAAGATTATTTGGATAAAATATATTTAAAATAAAATTTTCTACTTACGTGACTTAGTCTTAAGTTTTCGGAAGCGGAAGTTTCAAATGAAAAGAAAGATTAATAACGAACGATAGTAGCGCCTTATATTGCTACGTATTTCTTTTTATTTTTTTTTCAAATTCAACTTTTCAATATGCAATTTTTTCCTTTTTTTAAAGTTTTTTTTTTTAAAAGGCTATTTAACGATATAATTTCGATTCAATTTTAGTACGAATAGATAGGAGATTTAATATCAAATATATTTTTTATTTTTTTT